GGACCAGGACCGGCAACGGGATCGCAACCCTCGGTGTTGCCCCCGCTCCTCGCTCAGCCAGTGAGCGGCCGGTCTGTATGTGGGATCCGAACCCTCGGCGGGAGCGCCGCCACACTTCCCAAGCGGCGCACTGCAGCAGTGCGCCAGCGGGCCGGCCCTTGTCCTGATTTTTTGAAATCTAATGTTTAAATTCAGTTTTTTGAAATCTAATACTTAAAGCACGTATTTTCAACCAGCCACACTTCAGGTACTCAGTAGCCACACGTGGCTGGTGGCTACCATATGGTACAGCACAGTTTTAAGGGGTAGCTGAAGTAACAATCCAAGCTCAGTGTTAAACAGTCTTCCCAAAACACATCACTTCTCCCGTGATTCACAGCAGAACAGATAAAATGGGACAAAAACTTGGCACTTGGTCTGCTTAATAGAGCAGCTTAGGTTGATAGCAAGGGTTTAGCTACGTAAACAAGGAATGGTGGCCAGGGGTTTCATAAATCTGGTCACATTTTAGACAAGCCATGGGGACCGCTAGGGATTGGTGACCACCAGGGGGCCTGGCAGAGGGATTGTGAGGATGTTCCATAACGTGCAGGGCAGAGCAGTGAAACATGTGGAGGACAGGCACTAGTCAGCTGCGTCAGGCGATCAGCCTCCACAAGAGTTGGGATTTTTGTCTCTTGGATTTGGCACTTAGAACAGAATTGACAGATAATCTAATCACAGTTGGTGAAGCTAAATTCCCACACTGGGGTTTCAGGGCTGAGTTCCAATCCCAATCCCAGGCAGGTACTAAGATATCAGCAAAATTAATTCACTAGAAGCAGGAAAGAGGACTAAGGTGAAGCTCTCAGGCCGCAGAAACATTGTTGCATGGGATCTGGTAGCACCACTAAATGTGTAGTACTGCTGTCGTAGTCCAGTGGCTAGCACTGGGCTGGCAGTGTTCTTCTGAAGCTTTCAGGCCGCAGAAACATTGTTGCATGGGATCTGGTAGCACCACTAACTGTGTAGTACTGCTGTCGTAGTCCAGTGGCTAGCACTGGGCTGGCAGTGTTCTTCTGAAGCTTATTCTTTTTTAATTTTGTTATTCTTTTTAAATTTTGTTTTTGTTTTTTTAAATCCTTTCTCCTATTTCAGTTTATCTTGGAACCAGAGGTAGGCTCACCCATCATTGGGAAATCGGAAGGAGGTTGGAACTAGGGCACTGAAACCGGGAAAAGAAAGGACTAATGGCATTCATCCAGCTGTTGATTAGGAGCTGCTTTCTTTAAGGAGATAGTGCCTCACTTTAAGAATAAGTTCCCCTACTTATATGCATTTGCTTTTCAATGAAGTTGCAGTACTATCCCCTTTTTAAGGACTTTCTATTTTTTGTTTAAAAATCAAATCCATAATGGTTCCCTTCGTCAAGATTTCTGTAGGATATAATTTAAAGGAAGCTGAAGAGGAGGGTAAATTTATAATTGTCAATTGGTATTTTTGTCACATTAACAATAATTGGACATTAGCAACTGAAATCTAAGTTTTTTAAGTTTTTCTTTGCATTTTCACCTTTATTATAAAAGCTAATGTGGCATAGAATTCTTTCTAGATAAATGAATTTTATTTTGTTGACTTTAAAATAACTTGATTTTAGCTAAAGAATGGTATTGTTTCTTCTTATTCCATGGACACTTTGAAACTATTATTATGTTTGGATAAAATGAGCTAAAATTATGTTAGCATTTAGGAGTAGCTTATTCACTCTCTAGTCAATAGTTGCTTATAGTAGTACATCACATTCTTCTTTGCAAGTCATAACAGAGATGATTAGAATCCACCTAAATGTCTCTCAGTTGAGAACTGGTTAAATGAGTTATGGTACATCTGTACAATGGAATATTTATAGCTTTATAGTTATTTTTATAGTAGCTTTGTATGAATTAAACTTATATGTGGTGATAAGGAATTCATAAGTAAAAAAATAAGGTGCAAAACAATATATAGGGTATATTACTATTCTGAAGGGGCAATGCACACACATACATCCTTATACACACATAGAAGATCTCTGGAAGGCTATACTAGGAACTGTGGTAAGAAAGGTCCTGTGATGGGGAGCTGAGTGACTGGGAGGACGGGTGGTAGGGAGACTGGTAACTTTATCATCTTCTGTGTCTTTCTAAATTTTGTACCTTGTATTATACATTTGAAAAATACATACAAAATATATTGTAAGAAAAGAAGGGGAGAGAGGGAAGGAGGGAGGGAAACAAACAAAAAAAATCAACTTGCCTTACTAATAGCTTTCAAGATTTAAAAAATAAAAACCTAGGTTCATATGGACAAGACTTACTACTTTTGGGAGACAGTTATATAGAAAGTAAGATGTCAGTGGTTTTTATTAATAAGTAATTCATTTATTTCATAAATTTTCTGTTGTCCAAGACAGCTCACCAGGGATAATGTAAATAGTATCATCTCTTTGTATATATTCTGAGAAAAAAGGCAAAAATTAGGATAATCACAAAATGAAAAACTACTTTTTTATTTTCTTCTGTAAATGTAAGCATTTACGAAACAAACCAAAAAAATGTTTGTATATTCCATGCCTCTATTCTTAGACCTCAGAGCATTTCTCTTTGTAAAGTTTTGTATTTCAACCTCTTAACTCTGGTTCTACTTGGATATGTTGTTTGTTTATTTCTATGTAAGTGGACTCAGCAAGAAAAATAATACAATGGACATTCAGGTTATTTTTATTGATAATCCAATAGATATAGTGTAGATCTGTAACAAACAGACCCATAATTAGAATTTCCCAGCATAACCCAAAGCCTGACAAGGTGTAAAAATAAAATAGGCTGATGGCAACTAGTCAAATACATTTTATCTTGTTTCTTATGAAAATGTTTATAAGAAAATGCCTAGTTTTTAAAAGAACTGAGTGCTAAATTCAGCATGGTTAACAACAAAAGCCCATTATTTAATCAAATTAAGTTCAACAGTCTTTTCTCTTATCTAATTTAAACATTACTGTAGCAGACAGGGTTTGCCGAGTGTCTCTTGACTCATGGCACTGATTCTGCATACTTCTAAATTAAACAAATACAATTTGCCAGAGGCTTATGCAGCAAGCACATGAAGTAAATGTGGAAATCAAAAGAAACGTTTATTCACTTGCAGAGTCAGAGCTGAGGGAAGCATACATGTGATGTGGGAGAAGACGAGAAATTGCTTTGAGAGAAGCTAGTTTCTGTGGATGGAGTAGTAACGACGTGCTTGTAGTCATTCTTTTATTAGCTGATAGCTACAGGCTCACCAGATCTAGGCTGGATGAGCAAAAAAATTATTATATGTACAAAGAGAACATTTACTGAAATTTTAGAATCTATTAGCAAATTATGAATAGGTTTGGGTTTTTTTTCTCATGGGTTTAGATTTCCTAGATGAAGATACAAAATTTTGTTTTAATGGAAGCCCAGATGTAATATGGGGAAAATGGTTACTGTAAAGAAATAGGTAACACTTTTCCTCGAAGGATCATTAGCCAACCCAGAACTTTTACATTTTACTTCAGAGGAGTTTAAAGGCTTATATACATTGTTCCTTTGGGGGGGTTTTTTGGATTTTTTTGTCAGAGTAATTTTGAACCCGTTCTTAGATTACGCATTGCTCTCCATCCATTTCTACCAAAGCAAGATGAACCAAGGTTTCTAGAACAAATCTATTTCTTGTGTTATATTTAAGTACTGCTACATTTAAAAAGAAAAAGGAGCAAGGAAAAAACTCTCAAAAGTAATGTGATAATATTGTGTTTTAAATTAAATATGTTTACAGTATTTAAAATTATTTGGAGTTTACCTTCCAAAGATTTTTTTGGAGTTTTTTCGAAGTAGCCAGGCCACTTCTTACTTCTCTTTCTTCTTTTTCTCTCTTTCCCTCTCTCCTTTCTTTTCCTTCCTGACCAATCTTATTTCATCTAGGTTTCCTTTTTATAGAAAACCTAGACAATACAGGATATTATAAAGAAGCATAGTAGGGTTGGCTGGTGAGGTCAGTAGGTTAGAGGCTGGTGTTAAAACAACAAGGTCAAGAGTTCAGATCTCCTTACCAGCCAGCCTCCGAAAAAAAGAAAAGAAAAAAGAAGCATAGCAATATTAACAATTAACCCCAGTACCAAGAAAGGACCATTGTTATCAGTCGGCTTATTTCCTTCAACCTCCTGATTGAGTTAAGGTTCTTTGTGTTCTCTATTCCATTTGTACCTATTTATCTCTCTTCTCACCTCAGAGAGCATGCTGCAGTTATAGATGTGGCCTACTAGTGGGAATTCACTGACCTATTTATTCCCTGCACTCCACCCTGAAACTTTCCATCTCTTTATCTGAGCCAGGCCTTTGATGAGAGGACCAATTGCCTTACCCAGTCTATTTCTACCTGTACCTTGATCAGCCACAATAGCAACTTGGCTCTGTTTTGGACCTTTTCACCCTAGCTGTAGAACAAAACTTATATAATCTTAATTAGATAGATTCCAGAGCTCTTGCTGAGCTGTAATCCCTGTTTGCTTTTAGAAAAGAATCAAAATAAAGACTTAGAAATCTTCCAGCCCTCTAATTCCTGCTTCTGTCTAAACTTTGTTAACTTTGAATTAGGCCCAATCTGAATTCCCAGGTTACTGTGGCAGAATGGAACTCTTTTTCTTGAACTTAAAGAAGGGTTTCTGTTTAGAGTTTCATAGTGGGTAGGCCAGGAATTTTATTAAGCCAGGGGTCTGCAAACTTCCTATAAATGGCCAGATAGTAAATTTTTTAGGTTTTGCAGGCTATGGGATCTCTGTCACAGCTATTTGATTTTGCTGTTATAGTGCAAAAGCAGCCATAGACAATAAGCAATGAATGAGCATGACCATGTTCCAGTAAAACTTTATTTGCAAAAATAGGCAGTGGGCCATAGTTTGTTTACTCTGTTTTAAGCCATGAATATTTAAAGCATTGTATGATATTTTTCTCACTTGCTCATTTGAGAAAAAAAATTTAATATTATCTTTACGTAACACACTATAGGAAATTACATGTGTGTTATGGGTTGAAACACAAAAGCTATAAAAATATTCTGAGTGATATTCAAACCCATTGGTCATGATAGAAAAGACTGACAGATTTGGCTACATAAAAATTAAGATCACAAAGCATACCATAAATAAAGATAAAAGACAAATGAAAAACTGGAAGAAAATAATTATAATCTATATGAGTAGCAAGAGAGACCTGATTTAGTTTGTAGACTAAAAGCATATCAAATATCACCTGAATTTCTTTGGTGTTATATTTGACTTTTTTTTATAAAGAGTTTACAACAATTAGAGTTATTTTAAGTACATCTCTTACCTGCATCCCTTCTTTGAGGGCTCCCAAGTTCTTTGAATGGTAATGAAGGGTTCTGAATATTTAGGATGTATTATTAGTAAAGATTACAGCTATTAAGTAGGAATTTCAAGAGAGGCTTTTCAGAGGAATCTACATTGGTCACTAAACCTAGGACCATACTACCCTATCCCCTTAGGAGGTAGAGTTTGTACTTTGTTTTGAAAAATACCATAAGTGAAGATAATAGACAAATGACCAAGTGAAAAAAAAGTGACATTTTAAAATAACTACTGATGGTCTTTTTAAGGAAGCGTTTTTCCTGTTTAGAGTTTTATTTTAATCAAAAAGTATTTTAATATAAATATGAAATATATTGGCCTGAAAGTTTCAATGAGGGACAAACGTTTATTGTTCTCAAAAGTTTATTTTCTTGATTTCATGATATATTTGTCACATTGGTTTTAATAAATTGCAAGATATTTGTAAAACTGTCTTGTTTATTTCAGGGGCTACACTAAGTATGCGACCAGCCCCCATTCCAATAGAGGATCCTGAATGGAGACAAACACCTCCCCCAGTCTCTGCCACATCTGGCACGTTCCGACTACGACGAGGGAGTCGATTTACTTGGAGAAAGGAGTGCCTGGCTGTCATGGAAAGGTACATGTCTCCTTGTCTGATAAGAAGTCTCTCAAACTTAGGAAACGGATAAACTTTAGATAGATTGGGATGGTTTTCATTTTGAACAAGTAATTTGGGTTCTAGGTTGTATCTCTAAAAATGTTTTGGAATTTTATAAATGGTGTATTATAAAAATAAGTTATTAGCATTGAGGATACATAAAACTGGAGTTAGCATCTATCAATTTATTTTACTTATAATTTAATAGTGTCCTCAGTAGTTTAAGACACTTTAGAAGAAATATTTTTTGAGTTTAGATCTTTGTATTATGTTTTGGAAAAGCTCTTTGAAGTCTTATTTTCATCAAAAATATTGAATAATTATATAGGAGGCCACTGAGATTTAACTTTCTTCAGTAAGGAGTATGGTCCAAATGAGCTTAGTCCCAAAGATTAGAAATACTTGTTTTTAAGGTCTGGCTGGTTAGCTCAGTTGGTTAGAGCATGGTGCTAATAACACCAAGGTCCAGGGTTCAATCCCTATACCAGCCAGCTGCCAAAAAAGACAAACAAACAAAAAGACTTGTTTTTGACTTTGATTTAGAAACTTACCCTCTCATTCCAACACAAGTATCTTTTTTTTTTTTTTTTGTCTTTTTCCGTGTCCGGCAACGGATCGCAACCCTCAG